TGCTCACCAAAAAAGCGCGCAAAAAGCGTGAGTCTGTGCTGACTGATGGAGGCGCCGGGGCGACACATGAAAAAGATCTCCATAAACACATCCTCTACGATGACACCGGCGATGCTGTTGATGCCCGAGGAGAGCGTGCTAGAAGGAAAGGAATTTTGTGATGAATTTTAACTAGGGATGCCCACGTTGTTGAAAATGCAGCCCTCAAAATTTGTTGGCAATCAGAGGTTACATTGCTGAACAGGGGGAAACTAAACTCGGGTCTTCGGCATCCTCTCTCAGTCCTGAATTCTTCGACATTCTCCACAACGTTGTCTGACTCTCCGGTACCTTGGTGTTTCTCCGACATCAAATCGCTCATTTTCCCTTCATATTTAAACTATTTTCACCAAAATTAGTAAACGCCGTTATTATATCCATAGTTTGTTTTCCTATCTCACACCTCAAGCCTTAACCTGACGATTTATGGACGCCTACGTTATCCCTCCACCTATTCTCTACCGTTCTCCATTTATTTTTTAGCTTCGCTTAAAAAGGACTTGCTGATTTTCAAATGTAACCTAGGAAGGCTCTTTTCAGCTGCCGGTGTTTCGTATGCTTTTTTTTACTAAGCTTACGCATTTCATTGATCTAACTTTTGTTGATGTTGTCCATCCTCTTCCCCCGAAACTAATGGTTGCAAGGATTTCACTTCCCCTGCGTCGAGGCTTCCGACATATGTTTTGCCGTACATCAGAAAAACAGCGTTCTGTATTGCCCTTTCTAGCAGGCTGCCCCACATGTAAGGAGACTGAAATACTGAAACAAATTCTGGAACTGTCTCCATCATCAATGTAAATATTATATAGACCATTAGATTCTTGCGTATTTTGTGAAGTTGTCCTGTAGTCTCAGTTATTGGAGCCGTTTTTCTACCAAATGTGGATGCTATTTTCGAAATAAAGCGTATTGCCTCTTAAAAGCTAGACACCCGAATATGCATGTGCATGATTTTATTTGGGTAAACATGCTTAGGACTGGGTGGACACTTTGTTGAGTCGTCCCATAAAATCGCTCAGTTTGCAATTTTTCAAAGGGTTATCATATTATTATGTATAGTTCAATGAACTTACGAATTACGTATTCTGCTTCGTTCTTTATAACCTACTCTCTGCGTGTGGCTCTTTTACTATCCCACACTTAAGGTAATCCGTGGTTTTTAATTAATGGGATCCAATTTCGAAGATTCGCGTCATGATTGAAGGAGACTCCTACTAAACTGTTTTCGCCTGACCGAAAAAGATGGTAGTTCTGTGAAGCAAGGTTTGGGACATGCAGTGGATACAACAAAGGCGAGGTCTTAAATGATGAATACTCTGACGTGGGGTCTGGCGTCATCATGCTGAAAGATGAC